TCGGACAAAAATAAAAATAATATGCGAAGGAATAAAAGGACATGGAGATCAAAAAACACGATTAATTCGGACGAATACGACACACGGCGAACGTGATTCGAAAATATTTATTTTAATGGTAAAAAAATTTTAATGGAATTTTTGTTTCCTTTTCCTATGTATCTGTATGTAGTTGCCGATGAATCATAGTGGCTGCAACATCGAATGGAATAAAATTGCCGTACATACGTGATCGTTGAAACGTGTTGCCAATGTATTTCTCAATTATTTCGAACAAAGAACCCACGCGTTCGACGAAGCGTATAAATTTTCTGTTTGGGACATCTCAAAAAATTTCACGTGTCTCGTTTTTTTTTTTTTTTTTTTTTAATAAAAATAAAAAGAAATTCCATGGTTTTGTGACGTGACTCAACACGAGCTCCTCCATACGTGCTCGTTTTAACTTTCAAGTAAAATAAGTTCTCGTTAGGTTTCATAGAGGCGTAATATCAGCCGCGATACGGTTTAAAAATTATAGGGAGAAACATTCGAAGCGGCGGACAGTCGCCAAGGGAATGGTGCCGTGGATAATTCCGTTCGCGTATCCGGGAAAAAATTAAAGCAACGACCGAGCGGAGGGATCGGAGGAGAAATGTCTCGAGTTTTCCAGAGGTAACCGAAAAGTTTGCGATAATGCGAAAAGAAAGTTTGTTCATTGGATACGCCCTTTAAGTGTCAGCTGTTCCAACTATTGCAATTGAGGCGAAATATCGTCCCGGGCAACGTTAAAGCACGACGCATGGAAGTTATTGGAAAGTTGGACATTGGATGAGGGGGGATTGGAGGGAGTGGAGAGAAAGAGAAATAGATTTCGCAATGGGAATAATCTGGATAACCGTGTTAAGAGTGGCAGCATCGTGGAAAATATGCTTGAATCCATTCGAAGGGGGAGGGGGGTAGTAGTAGTAGTAAGCTGCTGGTAATTTCCGGTTAGCCTCGGCTCCATCAGGAGCAAGGATGGAAAGTCAAAATGGGAGGAGGGCTGGACACGACAGGACGTCGATTATTCTGCACGTGTTTCCAGAAAAATTGAAAATCTTTTTAATCGAGGAGATCGTGCAACTCTGAAATGCGACCAAGCTACACAATTTCTTCTTCCTTCTCTCTCCTCTTTCGTTTCGATATTCCCGATGTATCGTGGCCCAACTAGATCTTCCTTTTACGCGAAATCTCTGCAACTTGTTATTTTCTATAAATAGACAACGATTATATCGATGAGATTATTTTCTTGTGCAGTTTTACAAAATATATGAATATATTAAATTCGAAACTACGATCAAGATAGATCTTAGAAATAATTATTGCTAATCTATGTACAAATTTAATTAATTAACAAGTTATAATGTTTACACTACTTATAATATATTTATAAATAATATATTTACTACTTATAAATATATTTACATGTACAAAAAATATATTTACATGTACAACATTCTATTTAGAATTTTCTCCAAGATATAAATAAAATATTATGATATTTTAATAGTTTCATTTAATGTTTGAAATTTCATATATCTTTTATCCTTTAAATAAAATTAAGGAAGCTCATACAAACTTCGTAGAAAGTTCTTCTTTGCAGAGTCTAGAAGAATTATCTAAAGATCTTAAGTATTATTTCTTCTGTAAACAAATATTAAAAATAAGTAAAACGATATCTTTGCTCAGAGTTAATCAAAATTATTAATATTTAATTATTAATTACTTCGGTAAAACTTCCTCTACAAATTTACACGCGTCTTTATACACTTCCTCTATGTTTCTCTCCGCGTCAATAATCTTCATTACACGTTTGTTAGGCATTGTCGCACTTTTCACATTTGCGAAGTAGTGTATCATACGATTGACAACAGCCTCGTCGGTATCGTCGAATCTCATCGTGGTAGTGGCACGTTTTGACATTCGATCTTGAAGAATAACTCTTCTTGCATACAAATTTATTAACAAATCGGGCTGCCTTACTTCCGAATTGAATATCACAGCCTGTTAATCGATTAATCTCTCCATATTTCTCATATTTTTTACAATATGTATCGTTTCATCATAAATTAAAAAAAAAAAAAAAAAATGAAACGAGATAAAACTTCTTTCAAAATTCAATTACGTTTCTTAACCCATAAGTCGCAATTCAATTTTCAATAGGAGTAGGAAACATTAATCAATCGAATTACTCGATTATTCCAAGTAATATATCCTAACTGCACTTAAATATATTATAATTATATTTATTAATATAATACGTACATCGATTGCAACCTCTCAGTTATCTAAAAATGATAGCAGTACAAATGATAGTAGTACTTGGATCGCGATATACCGAATTATGAATTGACATATTTATCAGGATCACGATCTATCAAATTTCTTTATATATAATTTGGATCACGATTTTATTACATGAATAATGCATAGAGCTATCGCGCTATGAAAGGGTTGAGAAACGTCGAATCAGAGTAATCTAACGAATAACCTGTTTCTTATCCCGTGGGAAACCAACAACTAGATAACCAATCGTAGTCGGATTTTTTAGCATTTCCCTCACCACCAGTTGAACGATAAACTCAGCCGGTACAATGTTACCTTTTTGCATGTAGGACTTGAAAAAATTTCCTCTATCTGTTTGTTTATTGACCTCTTCGCGTAATATATTTGTCACAGATATCAGCTTCAAATTATACTGGGAGGACAATTTTTTAGCCAACGTACTTTTCCCGACACCAGGGCCACCTATCAGAAAAATTATGCACTCTTCACCCTCCTTCAAAGGTGTAGTGTCCGCTCGTGGACCCATCAGCGCCAAAAAATTTTCCGTTTCTCTCTCGATACAATTACCCATATCGCCGAATATTTTTCTCCGCTTAATCGATGAATTCAAAATTTGAAATTTCGGATTAAGGATTAATGGTAAATGAGTGGTAAAAGAACGAGGACTCTTGTCTTTTACCGAAAATTTTTTCAACGATTCGCTCCTTTTTAAGGAATTCCTCCGCGGTTTCACGACGTTCCCCAAAAAGGAGATTCTTCTACGATGATGCCTTTACCATGAAACTTTATCATGTTCCACAAGATTGTCATTTGAAAATTATACGAACTCGATGGACAAAGTGTCAATGAGGGCATCTGTTTAAGAGCTACGAAGGAACAAATGATGAACATTCTTAATTATGTTCTTTTATATAATTATTTGGAGTGTGTTATATAAAGCAGTTGATAAGAAGGATAAAAAGATTGTGTTTCGAAATGACAACAAATTAATTGGACTACAATCCAGTAGATGTTTAACCTTCAATTGAAATCATTTGACTATTCATATTCCTCTATGAATTTAATTGAATATTTTATGCTACGTACTTCATAATTCAACGAAGAATCGATTGTATAAAAAACATGCTATTGTTTCTTTCTTTCTTTCTTTCTTTCTTTCTTTCTTTTTTTTTCATAATTACTTTAAACTGAACTAGTCTTTAAGTCCCATAGAGAAGATTTTTTTGAATCTTTTGGGAATTAGTATTTTCCTTTTTATCGAATATTTGTATTGGTATTTTTATCATTATAATTTGATAATATAATTTGATATTACTCTACACGTTTTAATATAATTATAAATATCAAGAAAACAATACAAAAGCAATATATAATAACAAAACTAATATAAAATACTGAGTAACAAGAAAATAATAAGCCACAACCTTTCTTGGAAAAAAACCTCGATATAATAAAAATCAGATAATAAATAAAAAGTAATTATATATAAATGAAATAATTCTTTCTAATTTCAGATCCCTCGAATTGACGTCGTGTCATCGAATTGAAGGTTAACCTATCATTTAACACGACAGGCTCTAACTAACCATTTTTCTATTTTACTCCTTGAATATACTAATAAGAAATTTTTGGTGTGAAAACAAAATTAAGTTTCAACCAGCATAATAATAAAGATATTTGTTTTTCATCCTTCCTGAAACTGAACAACTCGCTTTACGACCATGCACCAATATTATTTAAATTTCCTGTTTTACATCTTTTCCCCGAAGAATCTCTCACGGATGTACCAATCCTCCTCCTCCTCGTGAAATCTTTCTTAACCCGTGTTGTTTATGATCACGAGTTCGATCACTTTAATATATCACCCTCTGAATTTCTCACTTCGTCGTTTCGTCCACGATCGTGCTCTCGGGCTCGCCTCCTCCACCTTCGAGCCTCGACACGAGTCCCCCGATATGAGACGAAAATAAATAATTCCTCAACCGAGTCACGCTCCTTCTCTCGAAAAAAATTGTCAAGACCGATAAATAGCGCGAACGCCCTCCGCCCTCGTGAATTATTCTATCGACTGAAGTTGAACTCCTTTCCCCCCTTTCGATACCTCTCTATATCGTTTCGTCGCGGATGGATTTCAGTTAATGAAATTCCTCCCGCTAATGAAATTTCCAAACGTTTCCCTCCCCGATTCCAACTCGCCCCCCCTATCACCTGGAGACAAATAATCCTCGTGAAAAATGTGGAATATCATGGGAGAGGGAACGAGCACGAGGAATTGCGTCTCGCGCGTGTAAGAATACTAAAAAGGGGGGGAGGGGAACGTTTCAATTTAACGCGCGGTTTCACCGTCCCTTTTTCACCCACAAATTCAATTCCTCCAAGATCGACGAAGAAGCAAATTGTAAGAGTATCCTTAGAGATGTGGTAACGTAATATCGAGGAAGAAAATGTTAGAATGTATGGTAGAATGTTTAAACAGTTGCTCCGAGCGAATCACGCTTCGAGGTACGCGCGAGACGCAATGGTGAGTATGAATTGCAAAATACGTGGAATATATTATATTGGGGGAAAAGTCGGGGCAGAGGATAGATTACGTAAGGATTCTCTTTCTAACGAAATCGAAGAGAGAAGAGGAATAGAGAAAGAGACAGAGACAGAGACAGAGAGAGAGAGAGAGTAATTTTTAATTTTTATGGTTCGAAGGTGAACGTGATATCGAGACGCGGCAAAAGCTACAAGGATATAAGAAAAGCTTCGATCGACACTTTTACCTCTATCATTCCACAAACGAGAATGGACATCGAGCAGAAGATGAAAGAAGTGTCGGAGCTGCTCTCGAAAACTGCCAAAGAACTGAGCGAGTTGATGAAGAAGAACGAGGAACTCTTAAGGCAGGAGATAAAAAAGGTCGAGGAGGTTATTCGACAAACTATAAAGGTATCATCGATCATGATTGACGAGTAATTCAATTAAAATTATCGTGTAACGATGGGAACCGAGTTCGAACAAGACTCGAGATTATTTGTACGAATGAATTCCCAAAAATGGTGTGAATCGAAAAAATTATTTCTTTACGAATATATAAAATTACAACGATTCTGTTTGCCGCGTATATAATAATTTATCGAATTGAATTTAATTAAACACCTATCGAACTCGATCCCATCGTGCTATTAATAATAATGAGATTGGAAAGAATTACGATAGCAAAGAATTTAAACTCAAGTGACAAAGACAAAGAAAGAATTCAAAAAGTTATCGTTTACCTTATTTTCATGGAGATTCTACTTCGAATTTGTAATACGCTTGTGAATCTCTTCGAACCGCGTCAAGTCAGACGATTCACGGCCGAGATAAACTTGTTGCAGGTGTGCTCGGAGGGTAAGGTGGAGAATCTTCGGGACGTGAAAGCGAAATACGACGAGAAGGTAAAAATCTGCAACGAGAAGGCCGTGATTGGATTCCAGGCCGCGAAGACGAAGTGCGACGAGCAGTTGAAAACGGTGAAGGCCATCAAGAGCTCGATGAAACAAATCTTGAAAGACTGTTTGGAGACGAACGAGTTTGTTAAGTGCGTGGCGAAGGAGACGAAAAACGCTATGAAAGAGAGGAAACAGGTCTCGCGGCAACTGGAAACCACCGTTAAAAACGCCGAGGTCTCGATTCTGAAACAGTTGAAGGAAGCTGTGAAATGCCACGCGGACGCTCAAACGGAAGCCCTCAACGACTTGCACAAGATTCTAAACGAGACGAAAGATTGCATCAAGTAAATTTTTCTACGCGGATCTTGTGATTAGAGATAACGGGTATTGATTGGAATTTTTAATTAGGGATCAATTGAGTTAGAAACCGTGATATCGGTTACCCATAGCAAAGCGTAGAGTTTAAGGATGAATCGTAAGCCCGAAAGAAAGAAACAGTCAATTAATTCATCAATTAATGGACAATCAATAAAGATGCGAAAGAACGAAGCTGTTCGAAGATAGAAAGAATTTTATAGATGCGTTAAGGAAATAAAGAGATTACAAATACAAAATTTTGTATACGTTTCTTCTAACTATAATTAACCTGTTTAATTGTATAAGTCTTGCTGTTTTAAACTATCTTGCACAATTCAAAAAAAAAAGTTCAATCCTACTCGAATTCTTTTAATTTCCTTTTCTAAAATTGCGACTTTCTTTTATTAACTCTACTCTTATTCTCCACTATTGCTAATTGGAGAATAACCAAGAACGTGTCTCGAGCAAAAATTAAAAATAGAATCGCATAGCAAATCAAGAGCAAACTGAACGAAAGAAAAATCCTCATCAAAAGTCAATTTTAAAGCGACACCCTTTCCTCTTCCCTTTCTGTTCCTCTTCTCTAATCTCTAATGATTAATTAGATGTTCTTAAGAACACGTGCACGATGTTAATTGCCGTCCGATCGATCATCTCGATCAAATATTCCAACCCAACGTACACACAAAGCATAAAGGGGCACGGGTGGCAGGTTCACGGATCAACGAAGCGAAGAACAGGTAGTAAACCGTGAAAGATCGCCGCTCTAATGCATGCGACACGAGAGAGCAATTAACGTAACAAACGACTTGATTCCTCGGCTGACAGGTGTGCCTAGCGATAGTTGACCGTGTCGTCGTGGATATCCTGCGTCGGCACTATCGTTCCGCCCTTCTTCCCTTTAATGAGCAATACCACGGGGCGTTTCACGACTTTAGACAGCGTCGCGTGTACATCTGATCTGATTAAACGAGCTGTTTACACGGACCGCTCTCAAATCGAATGCCACGCCGCCATTATGCGCGCTGTTGATCGTTCGGTTAAGAATTCAAGTTCGATCTTTCCAGTGTCGTACTTATCCTTGTTTCACGTTCTGTAATTTCAAAAAAAATGTATAACAGAAGGGACAAAAGATCGTTTAGATAACGTTTCCGTTCACGAGTGTTGCGTTAATTCGTACGAGGTTTTAATTTTTTCGAAGAAAAATCGAAGATTTTTGGTCTGTGGTTGAGAGAGATTAAATCGCGATTTAGAGCGTGGATACGTTTAGGGTTTTTTTCTTTCTCTCCTTTTTCTTTTTTTTTTTTTTTTTTTTTTGCAAGATGATAGCCGGAATTTGTGGAATGAATAAATGCGGAGTTTTGCATATTCTCGCGGTATTTGGACGATCGTGAGTAATATATCTTGTTAAGGGGGCCAATCCCTAGTTGGATTTATGACGCGCTCGCGAAATCATCTGTTATTTTTGAACCGGGATTGCCGCGATGAAACAAGTTGGGGAGGGAGGGATATTTTTGCATATTCAGAAGCTCGGTTGCTTGCGCGGCAAATCGATGGTAAATTCGAGTGGCGAAAGGGAAATTAATTGCTACTTTATTGGAGAGTTTTCGAGTGGTTTCGTAACTCGACATCGATGAGGTGTATGAAAAAAATATAGGGTGTATGTGTGCTTAAAAATGCATCGAATTCAATTCTCGTTTGAAACGTTGATTCTTTTTTTTTTTTTTTTTTTTTTTTTTTTTTTACATAATAGTAATTAATTTATGAATTATTGGAAGATTAATTCAATACGTATACGAAGAATTTTATCATTCATGTGGATTTAATATTGTCGCGAATTTTGCGTTATAAATAATTCACGTATATACCGCACGACTCCTATTGAATATTTTATATTCGATGGGAACAAAAGAGATGATTGTTGTTATTTTAGAGATCAATGTATACACGTATATTTAACAAACTCGATAAACGAGCGACGAGCGAGTAATTTTAACAGTCCTAATAATCTAGGTTACTTTTTTAATCGCTCGAAATCGACGAGGAACAATATCGATAATAACCCATCGTTTCATCAAGGTTCCTCCGACATCATTTGTGCGTGCACGCGATAACGATAACAATGCACGGAGATTCCGTCGTGGCTCGCGAATAAAGCGTACAAGGGGTGGTTTATGGAACAATACGAGTTCGTTTCGACGGTATATCGAACAAAACGGATGATATTTCTACCATCTCGTTTCGAAATTGTCTCGCGTTATTTGGTAATTTTTCGACCGCTGGCCGTATTACGATTACCGGAAAATATTAGAATCGCAATATAATCGATCGGATCGATGAGAAAAAAATCTTCAAAATAGGAAACTCGTACGAAACTTGATAAAACTCGTAAAAAAGGAAGATCGAGGAGCGGTAAACGAAATAATTAATCATCGATTAAGGGCAGGAACAAAAGGAATGGCGGTTAAAAGCAGGCTCGTAATAACGATCGATTATCGTTATCGAACAATAGCTCAGTAGAGAAATCGTTAGATCGTCTATAAATCGTAACAACACCGTTGCTATCGCGAAATGCAAATGATTCGCGTTTCAACGATGCGTTTCCGAGCTTTTCGACCGTTTGGTGTTGCAGCGAATAATCCAAATGTTACGTTGAAAATGAATCAAAGCAGCGATAATGGTGGGTATCGGTATTTAAACGTATCATCGGGCATGATCGGTGAAATCGATGGATAGGAAAATAATTAATAATCGTGCTCACACATCGTGGAAAAGGTATTACGAACGGTTAAACGAACACGTAGCCCTGATCCATTTTCAATTTATAATGCCCGCGGCACGTTGCGGCATCCGTCTTCCGAGTAAACTATGTTGAACGCGAAGAGCGGCGGGGCGTGGCGAGAAAGGCTAACACCGCGAGATATTTAATTGATTTAGGTGACAGAAGGCAGCCACGGACTTTCCCGCAGGACGTTCAGAATGCGACCATCGAGTGGAATTCCGAGAACACTTAGCGAGATCGGTTGCGGTCGCGCGGAATCGTTCGAAGGATATCGGTATTCGGCCACCACCTGCCACGACCAACACCTCCCACTTTACTTCGCGAAATGAGCAAACTTCTGATTGCCTTGATCTCTCTGCTCCGGCCAGAGCATTTCCAAAATTCCCAACCTGACTTATCAAGTTTCCACTTCCGTTTTTCTCTATTATATATTCCATTTCATTTTTCCGAAATAAAATCGCGCTCGCTTTACGGTTTTACTTTACAGTGGCGATGATTTATTAAAGAAGATTTTAAATGGAACAATTAGTGGCAACTGTGGATGTAGAGAATGAATAATAGACGAGGAAAGGATTAACGTATGAAATTCATCATTGGCTGTCTTTGGAATATCTTTCTGGATACCTAGAGGATTTTTATTACAAAATCCTCTTTTTTCTCTTTTTTATATACTAATACAATATATTATTCAAATTCGAAAACAATTTTGCACAATTTTGCATTTTATGGAAAAATCCTATTGCTTAACAAATGAATTTACTTTGTATCGAAAATACAAGATGATCGATACTAAGAAAATTTCATTCGTTTCCTCTCTATCTGACAGAGGCGAAAACCAAACACGAGATTCAAAAGCTCAATCAATCTTATAACTCACTATTTCTCGAAGAAAACTGCAAACGTGGAATATTCGAGCTTCCAATTAATCCATCCTGCGTAACGAGAATATCCTTTATACTCCAAGTTGCACGCACCTGTGCGCAACACCGAAGCCCACTTAGGCAAATGAACGTATCGGGGCGACAATCGACTGGGAATCCCGTTGATCAAGGAAAAGGGGAGCCGAGATTTGCGCGCCTACAGTCCATTAAAATAAGTGGCCACGCCACGGCGTTAATAATAGCCAGGCCAATTACAGTGGCGGCATCGACGCCTCTACTTTCCAACCCCCGGTCAGAACTTTCAATTAGCTGCTCAACCTTGCTCCCCTACCCTCTTTCAGCCGCCGCTGATTCTTCCCTCTAGTTCTCCCCGCAGTGCAATCGGTCCCCGAGAAAAGTCATTACAGACGACGAGCCGCGGTCAACCGGTCGGAATTTCACCCTCCAACCCCCTCCGACCAAAAGTCGTTCTACCGCTCCTGAAATATTAATAATCGAATTTCAATCGAGACGGAATAAAATTGTGTGGATGACGATTTCCTTGAGAGAACGAAGAGAACGTTTCTCTCGACAGAGAATCGAATTGATCAGATGCTTTATTTACACTCGAATCTTCTTCTGGTGATTCGTCTAGTAAACACGAGGAAGGAAAAGTAGAGTAGGATCTTGTTGTCGATTACAGAGGAGGAGGAATACACGATTTCTTTCGGATAACGAAGATTTCTATTTTTCGTGTAATTTTTATCACTCGTTTCTTTCTGTTTTCCTGAAATTTGAAGGATCGTTTACAACGTTTGCACGTTGTAATAATGCTTTTTTAAAATAATTCGATGCCTGGTACGTTGGAATATCCGCTTTAATTACTATGTTGAACGCGAGTTCTCTTCGAGGCAATTAAGACGTGTCGGAGCACTGTTCAATTTTCGCCTCGTGACGCAAACATAATAATCACGATAATTGTTTGCCACGCGAACTCAGACTGCCCTTCTGATTCTCCAGATGTCCGTGATTGTTTGCTCCGTATACGGACGCGATTGCCTTCTAACGAGCTACCAAATTTCATACATCCCTGTACCTTTCTTCAACGAGATATCTACAAGAATAATTACATAATTATTTTATATTTCGATTTATGACAAAAATTATATTGCATAAAAGAATCAACAATCTCTGGACATCGTTGGTCAACAAACTCGTAAACTAATAACGCACGTTGCAAACAGGAAAAACCGGATAATAAAATAAAATCGTGATAATTGATCAAAGAAAGAAAGAAAAAAAAAAAAAAAAAAAAAGGAAAATTTTTCCATTCGATCTCGTATTCCTCGGTCGCATCATCGATCTCCATCAAAATCGCATCGAGCCGATAATTTTCGCCAATGTGACCGCATTAGACCGTTTGCAGAGATTGGGCTGTACATACATACAACAATAGATGCGACGGTTGGCAGGTGCAACGGCAGTTGCATCCGTGCAACTGCAAGCCACGCTCGATCATTCTCTCGTCTCAAGCTGTGGTAGTCGGTATTCCCCTGTCTCGT